TGGAGGCTATATATATCTTGGGTCGGGTCCCACATGCATCAGTAACCTCTGAAGCCATTATGCAGTTTGTGAGTACCCGCAGTGTCGTGTGACTGAGATTTGTAGCGAGAGAAAAGTTGGAAATTTTATCTTTCACTACCTCCATGTTTTTCCATCGATATTTTCATTTATTTGCCATTCTGTATCTCCTGTCTCTATACAACTGTCTTATAAAAATCAAAGACAAAAATCTCACGCAAGATAGAAATTCGTCTAACTTCTTTCTTTTTCTAATTCTGAGTAACCTGATAAATCTCGTTTTAAGTCTTGCTGTTTTCCTCTTAATTTATGCAAGTTTCAACTCTTCATTATATCGCAGTCCATGAAATGTTTCGTACTTATGGAACCCAACGAAATAAGGATAATGAACATTACAGTAGGTCTAGTGGCTGATGGTAGGCAGATCCTGCATACACATTTATTTAAAACAATCACAATAATTAGGTAACTAATTGTATTTCTTAGCTACCTATGATTTTTAATATTTGGGAATGTTCAGATGTGGTTGTATAAAGAACTCAATAACAACTCTCTGATCAAGTACATGTCTAGAAAATTTGAAAACGAACAAAATTAAATTTTCTAAAGACACTGAATTGAAATTTTATCATTGTAATTTTATTTTGCTCAAACTCTTATATCTGGATGAGAACTTAGTTTAATTAGTACGACCTCAGTCCATAATTACCCAAAATTTTAAGTGTTGACTTCCCCAGGTTAAGAATGTCATTAACCACTAAACATGGTGTATTTGTTTTGGTAATGTTCTCAGCGAAGCAAACTGATCTATATAAATACTCTCAGTCATGTCGGTGGTGTTCTTCCAGTTAACTGGACAACTTTTCGGAAAATGGTATAAGGAACTTTCATAGTTGGAGTTACATAACACGCCTCTAACCCGTAAGGGCCATTCAGTACCCGTGAAAATAGAGGCAATCAGGTTTCATCCAAGGAAGGAGAATGGAGCTCCAGTTCCATACATTTCTAGCAGAAAGCATTGCAGTGTTCCTTTTTGTGAGGGACAATGCGGATGAAAGATAGTGCTGTATGTTTGATTCTTTTTCAACGTCAGTTTTTAGTTTTTTGCTTTCTTCATGCAGCCTTAGAAGAGTTTCCTAAATTTAAATAATAATCTCGTAAATAGCATCATAATTATCTTCGTGATTTCGTGGTTATTTTCAGCACTCTTCAGATGCAAAAGCGAAATCACATTGAATAAATAATGTACTTTGTTGTAATTCATCCACATTTCATAACAGACAGTATTTATATGCATCTCTCTTTAACTTTGAAGCAAAGTGAATTTATTATAATAAGAGTAATAATAAAGCAAGGAAGACCTGTGACATTTCTCGGCATTTCCCTAGCTAGAAAGAGGTAAATGTAAACTTGCGACGATAGCTTTCAATTCAATACAGGAGTAATATGGGTTAATATTTCAATTTTCTTCTTCAGGTGATTCTCGCCGTGCTGGCCGCCATGGCCATCGCCGCCCCTCAGTATGATGCCCCTCAGAGCCCAAGTCGCTATGGGACCTCAAGTGAAGAGATCCCTATTTTGAAGGACGAGCGACTCCAGGAGGATGACGGAAGATACAGCTTCGATGTGGAGACTGGGAATGGTATCGTCCTGTCTCAATCTGGCTCTCCACGAGGTCCTGAGGGTGCTGTGGTCAAGGCTGGAGAGTTCTCGTAAGTACTGTACAGTAATAAGAAGGATTTACTTTCGTATATGTTTTAATTATAATTATATTTAAGAGGTCAATAAATGGCACGTTCTTACAATTCTTTTTCTCTCAGCTACACTGCTCCTGATGGCTTACCTGTTCGTATAAAGTTCGTCGCTGATGAGAACGGTTACCAGCCTGAGTCTGACCTGCTGCCAGTGGCTCCTGAATTCCCCCACCCAATTCCTCAGTTCGTACTGGACCAGATTGCCTTCGCTGCTGAAGAAGATGCTGCCCGCGCACGCGGCAAAATTTCCAGTCCCTCTGCCAGCTATGGAGCTCCCCAGTAATTTCTTAGGTAAAAAAGGACAATACAACGCTCAAGAGTTTGGTTTTGCTTTCTAAGCTTAATGGAGTGAATATGTACCCATTTACTCTTATTTATTTGTAAAACAAAATGCTAAATAAAACAATAAATATATAATGACATTCTTTGGATTCTAATGTAAATTTCCTTTCATAAAATAATTCACTAACAAAAAATACACTGATTTTCTAGTTACTCTGTGTACAGCTGTGTGCATGGATACTGTGTGCATGGATACTGTGTGCATGGATACTGTGTGCATGGATACTGTGTGCATGGATACTGTGTGCATGGATACTGTGTGCATGGATACTGTGTGCATGGATACTGTGTGCATGGATACTGTGTGCATGGATACTGTGTGCATGGATACTGTGTGCATGGATACTGTGTGCATGGATACTGTGTGCATGGATACTGTGTGCATGGATACCGTGTGCATGGATACCGTGTGCATGGATACTGTGTGCATGGATACTGTGTGCATGGATACTGTGTGCATGGATACTGTGTGCATGGATACTGTGTGCATGGATACTGTGTGCATGGATACTGTGTGCATGGATACGTGTGCATGGATACTGTGTGCATGGATACTGTGTGCATGGATACTGTGTGCATGGATACTGTGTGCATGGATAGTATTTTCCAAGTGGTAAATACAATCCATGCACATTTTTTTAATTTAAGAATAGTAAATAAGTGAAATTTGATATAAAAAGACACTGGATCAAAAATAGATATTACAATTTTCAATCATGATAGTCGGTCCAAAGAGAAAAGAAGTATAAGAAGTATTAAGAAAATGGGAGAAAACCCAGATGGGTGTGTGTGAATATATGTACGTACATATGTAGTGCACATAAGCGTAAGTAGTAGTAGTAGTAGTAGTAGTAAGATATATCTGTTATCCCGAATGTTTATGAAACAGAGAAAGAGACCAGCAATCCTACAAGCTTCCGTTTCACATTCAGTGGCAGAACGGTAGTACCTCCCTGGGAGGTTGCTGTCTACTAATTTACCGTCATACATACATATATACACACACACACACACACACACACACACACACACACACACACACACACACACACATATATATATATATATATAAATATATATATATATATATATATATATATATATATATATATATATATATATATATTATACATATATATAAGATTCTTTTGGAGCAAAATCAAAAATTTTTACATTAACATTAATGAAAAAAAATATATCTTTAAACGTATTAGCGAAAATTTTAGAAAGGACTTAATTTTAAACGAGTTCTTGCTAATTGACCAGTTTTACATATTCTGCACGATTTATAATATATATATATATTATATATATATATATATATACATACATATAAATACATATATATATATATTATATATATATATATATATATATATATATATATATATATATATATATATATATATATATATATATATATATATGTCGTGCCGATTATGTAAAACTGGTCAATTAGCAAGAACTATATATATATATATATATATATATATATATATATATATATATATATTATATATATATATATATATATATATATATATATATATATATATATATATATATATATATATATATATATATGTCTTGCCGAATAGGCAGAACTTGCCATCTTGACTTAAATAGCAACGCTCATCTGGAGATTCGTTTTGTAAAAACTTGCATTTGTGATCACAATGGTGCCTGTGCTAACCTTCCTATGGTGTAGAAATATACCTAGTTGGACGAATCTTATTGTGGCTAGCTGGTCTAGTGGCTAACGCGACTGGCTAGCTGGTCTAGTGGCTAACGCGACGGGCTAGTGTTTTGAGACTCTCTGACCGCGGGTTCAATCCCGGCCCCGGTATGGTTTAGGCGAGTCAGTTATATATCTGTGTGTGTGTGTGTGCGGAAACATATTTGACTTCAGTTTATTTGTATTTAGAGTATAATAGCTATGGTCATGGACTCTTGTTTATAGTTTTCTTTACCATGCAATCTCTTAGGATTCCTAGTGGTTGCATTACTTTCTCTCTCTTCATTTATCTAACTAGAATAGTCTGTCATCCAGAGATGAAGGAACATTTTCTAGAATAGTTCTAGCATAACTTGTTCTCAGTTTATATTTGAAGCGTTCCGTGGGGTAACTATATAAATGCAGTAGAGCATGAATATTATGCAATTTTCTCAAACTTCAAGATAATTATTAAATTTACGGACAGAGAGAATAATAAGTTCATGGACGGGGAGAGTATGTAGTACATTGCCTATTCAGCTAGGCTGTTGCTGACCCACATATCCATTACAGCCTGGTTGATCATATTTTTATAAATGGATAAGACAATTTACTAAGAATGAGCACTTGTTATCAGAAATATTGATACCAAGTATCAATATTCTCAAATTACGAAAAAGGGAAGTTGGCAGGATATTAAAAAATAAATATATAAAATAACATCTGGAACAATAACAGGTGATTACAACGGTATAATTAGTCAAAATCTTTGGTGATAAATGCTTACTAAGTTTTAAAAATATATTTACCAAAGAAAGGGGAGGATGTCAACTGTGGTTATTTGGGGTTTGTTAAAGCAGGAAAAAATACAGATTTATGTTTCAGACTGCCAAAACGACTGATCTGTGAAGTGATTTGCACAACTTCTCAGAGAAGTACTTGCAAAAAAACAAAAAAAAAAAACAAAAAAAAAAGAAGAAAAAAAAAGTGACATATCTAAATCTGAATGGAAGTCATCAGACACGAGTAGGCTTGTGACCCTGGGTTAAGCACGTTAAGGTTCAATGGTAAGAGAATGGTTGATAGTTGAGAGAAGGTCAAATGAGGCGAAATGGTGCAAGAGATGCTTGCCCAAGCACCTAGAAGATAAAAATTAACCCATATATATATATATGTCGTGCCGAATAGGCAGAACTTGCTATCTTGGCTTAAACAGCAACGCTCAACTTGCCATATAGGACAAGTGAAAATTTGTGTATGCAATAATTTCGCCAAAATCATTCTGAACCTAACGAAAAAAATATATTTCACTGTGTTTGTTTAGTATTAAATTATTTTAAACAAATCTAAAATATATTTAGTTGAGTTAGGCTAAAATAAATTGTTCTTTTTATAATAAGGTTAGGTAAGTTTTCTAAGATTCTTGTGATGCAAAATTATAAATTTTTACATTAACATTAATGAAATAAATACATCTTTAAACGTATAAGAGAAAATTTTAGAAAGGATTTAATTTTAAATGAATTCTTGCTAATTGACCAGTTTTGCCTATTCGGCACGACATATATATATATATATATATATATATATATATATATATATATATATATATATATATATATATATATATATATATATATATATATATATTATATATATGTAAGACAAGCCACGGGGGTGGAAATCTTTAGCTCAAGTACTTTCACACTCTTCAGTGCGTCATCAGGAGCTGTGCAATGTTGCAAGGAGCAACAAAAGCAGGGAGAAAGGTCTCAGAGTAGCGTAGGGTCACCAGCCACGGTTACCCTTAGACTGCTGTCTAAGGAGCAGTCTAAGGGTAAACTTGGTCGGTGACACCTACGCTACTCTGAGACCATCTCTCCTGCTTTGGTGGCTCCCTTGCAACATTGCACAGCTCCTGATGACGCACTAAGAAATGTGAAAGTACTTTAGCTAAAGATTCCCCCCCCCGTGGCTTGTCTTGCAAAGTTAAGATCGCCTGTCACGATTGTTTTATATATATATGTATATAAATATATATATATATATTATATATATATATATATATATTATATATATATATAATATATATATATTATATATTATTTAAAATATATATATATATATATATATATATATATATTATATAAAATATATTTTTATATATATATATATATATATAATATATATATAGTGTGTGTATATATATATATATATTAATTAATTTTATATATTTGTATATATATATATATAATTTATTATTATATATATGTAGTATATTTTATATATATTTATATATATATATAATATTTATTATATTTTATATATATAATTAAAATATATATTTGTAGTAATATAATATTATTATATATATATTTATTTAATATTATATATATATTATAAATTTTTTAAATAAATTTATATTTAAAATTTTTTTTAAATTTTCAATGTATGATTTTTATTCAAAATTTCTTAAGGTATTGGAAACGGAGAATTATGTTTAGTATTTTTTCATTGCAAGAAAGGCACGGGAGGGGAAGATGTTCCTATTGAAAAGTTTTTTAAATTACAACATAAAGTATTTCGTGAAATAAATTTATTTAGGGTTGCGGGTTTGTTTTTCAGAAAACGTTTAACGATATATGAAAAAAAGGTTTTTTTAAAAAATTTTAAGTTTTGAATTTCCTTTTCGTTATAAATTTCTTATGTTAAAAAGTTATGGTTGAAATTTTTTAAAAAAATCCCGAAAGTGGATAAAAAAGGGGGAGAGTCCAAAAAAAAAGGTTTGCAGTGAAATTTTCACTAAAAACGAGTGATCAAGCACTCAAAAGAATTGAAAAAAATACAGTAGAAGGAAAAGGAGACTTACCCCATGAAATGCAAAGGCTTTACATAGTCAAAAAAAAAAGGAACTGCAGTAGATCGAAATGACGTATTGCTCGATATTTGAGAGAAAATCATGGCAAAAGCAACGTCACGATCTCAGCTGTACATAGAGCATCAAATGACGACGGGCATTAAAGTTTAATTGGAATTTTTAAAAGGTAAAAAATAAAGAGTATCGAAAGGAAATCTATTTGAACAGAACGTCGAGTCCTTAGATGTTTATCTTCGATGGGGAAAAAAGTAATTTTGTATTTCGGCCAAATAAAAACAGAAAACCCCGAAAATTAAAATTTTGAAAATGTTAATTACTGATAAGGGGGTAACAAACAAGGCAGAGAAAGAGAGAGAATCGATATAATTACACTGTTACCAGTTCAATATCTTTAAAGAGACTGTGAGCATCTTTTCATAGGTTTCGTCTAAAATTTACAAAGGTTTAGAAAGAAAATTAATCAGTGAAAGGAAAAGACCGAAGCCCCTGTACTGTTATGTGGTAGCCAGTCCTTATGAATTTGATGAAATTTTTGCTAGATTAATCGGATATAAAAAAAATGTGGAAGCACAAGATTGGCTAGAAAGTTGTGGTATGGAGGAGAATGACGGGGAGGTTATTATGCAATGACTAGTATGCTTGATGCAGTGCTTCTCAACACTTGTGTTATATTTTCGACAGGCGCATATATATATATATATATATATATATATATTATATATATATATATATATATATATATATATATATATATATATATATATTATATATATATATATATATATATATATATATATATATAGTATATATATATATATATATATATATATATATTTATATATATATATATATATATATATATATATATATATATATATATATATATATTTATATATATATATATATATATATATATATATAAATATTATATATATATATATAATTATAATATAATATATTATATATATATAAATATATATATATATATATAATATATAATTATATATATATATATATATATATATAATATATATATAATATGAAAAACAACCACTCTGAAAGAATAGAGAAATTCCAAGCGCCTTCGTGACTACTCACATTATCAAGGAACTATGAAAGTAAAGCATCCAAGGAAGGTATATAAGGGGGTCTGGCCAACACCTCACAAACAACATCTACAAACAAACAACATCAGCCTAGGGAACTAGGCTTGCTTCATTAAGAGTCTCTAGTTAGAACAAAAATATTCGCGTTACGCATATATACATATAAGACCTATAAAATCATGGAATAATTGCTGTATGTCCACTGTCCATGCTGTTTCCTTATATAGTATTCCTTCTGTTAATGTGAAGGTTGCACTATACAGATCGATACATTTTCGATGCATCAAAACTGGTTCTTGCATTTCTCTCTTGAGAATATTGCTCTCACCTTTATTATTCACTTGACACACCTCATGTGCCCTGATACTTGACACCACATAAAACTGGCACGTCACTTGTTTTTATAATAGCGGGTTAGAGTATGTTAAAAGTGGTGTTTATGGATGATTTGTTTTCAGAAGAAAATATGTTGGGAAAAGATAACAGTACATATTGAAGAGTTAGATGGTAAGACAAAAAATTCTAGAGATAATAAGAATATCATTTCTCATTCAATAAAAGAAATTATAGCCTTCAAGTAATTTATCTATTAATTAAATTTTTAAATAATAAAAAATGGATAAACAATCCTGAATATTCAGCATATACAAAAGAACCAATAAAACGATGTAATAATATCCTGAGACAGGAAGAAATGTCATATAAAATTATGCAAGAGCATAATAAAATAATTAACGAAAATATACAGTGGGCCATCTTTTTTTGTAACTGGTACGTGAGCAAGCCCTTAAAATTTCGGATGTAAATTTTATAATCTCAGATGAAAATATTCCTCATGTGGAATGTAAAACTATATTTAGAATATATGATATTAATAAAAAAAATTGATAAAATAAATATGTTTAATGGGATTTAAAAAAAATTATACTGACTACAAAGTATAATTAAAAAAAAAAAAGATACAATAAACTCAAATTTTCAATAACAACCAAATATGAAGAATTTAAAAAGCATTTACCATGTTCTCAAAATGATAAAAAAAATCTGTTAGAATGAAAATAGTAATAATAATAATATTAATAATAATAATAATAATAATAATAATAATAATAATAATAATAATAATAATAATAATAATAAGAAGAAGAAGAAGAAGAAGAAGAAGAAGAAGAAGAAGTAGAAGAAGACGAAGACGAAGACGAAGACGAAGACGAAGACGAAGACGAAGACGAAGACGAAGACGAAGACGAAGACGAAGACGAAGACGAAGACGAAGAAGAAGAAGAAGAAGAAGACCAGATGGAGCATTGGGTAGTGGATTGTTGGAATATGTAGTAGACCTGAACCTTGCTGAGTCTTTAATATAAAGATTTACTTTCAAAATGAAAAAAAACCTTGAAGAAAGAACAAGCTCTTTTCTATGACAAATAAAATTGTAATAGGAGAGAAAAAAATGGCATCGCAGAACTACCACTGATGATGTTCTTAATTTAAAAAAGAACATAAACAATTTATTTATGCTTGCAGATAGTGCATTAATTTTAGGTTTTAATTAGATTACTAATAATTAGGTAATGGAATTCAATGTAGATAAATGCCGTGTTATATAGTTGGAATTCACTCACAATTGAAACGCAAATAACGTATGAATTTTGAAAGGATCTGAAAGAAAGATCTGGAGTGATAAAATAATATTCAGCCACATATAAAGCAAATTGATGATGAATCTTATAAAGCATTAAGTAACTTCAGGAGAGCCTTAAACTAATTTTAATTTTAAACGGGTGGAGGTGGAAACCAATACACAAATAACCAGCACATAAAAGAGAGAAGCTTACGACGACGTTTCGGTCCGACTTGGACCATTGACAAAGTCACACTAACCAGAGGTGGAGCAGGACGCCTATATATAGGCAGGAAGAGGTGGAGGTAGTAGTAGTAGTAGTAGTACAAGAATTGTATATAATACCGACAAGATGAAATTAAGACACATGCGCAACACCCGGGCATCCCCATCGTAGACGTTTCGCCATCCAGCCAGCCACTGGATGGCGAAACGTCCACAACAAAGACAACTCCTCTGGGTTGTCTTTCTCTCTCCTGTCTCGTGTTTCTGTTCCTTCTTCATTTATTTCACCACTTCCCCTTTTACGCATCTCTGTGCGCTTGCTCTCCCTCAGTGGGCACCTAGCTCTCTTGCAGTGCTCTCCTTCCTTTGTATTTGACTGGCTCGTCATCCTTATTTCCCACTTCTACCACTACACTACCACTACTACTACCTCTTCTTCTTCTACTACTACTACTACAACTACTGATGATATTAAGACACATGTGCGGCGTCTGGTTGTCTTTGTTGTGGACGTTTCGCCATCCAGTGGCTGGCTGGATGGCGAAACGTCTACGATGGGGATGCCCGGGTGTTGCGCATGTGTCTTAATTTCATCTTGTCGGTATTATATACAATTCTTGTACTACTACTACTACTACTACCACCACCTCTTCCTGCCTATATATAGCCGTCCTGCTCCTCCTCTGGTTAGTGTGACTTTGTCAATGGTCCAAGTCGGACCAAAACGTCGTCGTAAGCTTCTCTCTTTTATGTGCGGGTTATTTGTGTATCGTTCCAGTCACGGTATTGTGCCTTTTTGTTATTTATTTGTGGAAACCAATGAACGGCCTCGGTGAGATGATCAAATGCTCCAGTTGTCATCTTATGTTATGTGGGTTACCTAACCTAACCCTATATAAAAATGGTATACAATACCGACAGGTTGTTAGGTAAGACACATATGCAACAGTTAGACAACTTTATTCCGAAACGTTTCGCCTACACAGTAGGCTTCTTCAGTCGAATACAGAAAGTAGGCAGGAACAGTAGAGATGTGAAGACGATGTAATCAGTCCATCACCCTTAAAGTCGTAGAATTTGAGGTTGTCAGTCCCTCGGCCTGGAGAAGTTCAGTTCCATAGTCAGGAACTATGGAACCGAACTTCTCCAGGCCGAGGGACTGACAACCTCAAATTCTACGACTTTAAGGGTGATGGACTGATTACATCGTCTTCACATCTCTACTGTTCCTGCCTACTTTCTGTATCCGACTGAAGAAGCCTACTGTGTAGGCGAAACGTTTCGGAATAAAGTTGTCTAACTGTTGCATATGTGTCTTACCTAACCCTATAACAAATATAGTAAATCAATAATTTACATCAATTGTTAAGTCTAAATTAGAGTTCGTACCCATGAAGAAATAATAAAACAAAATTAATTACCTTCATTAGGAAGTGGAAAAAAAGAAGAGATGTGATAACTACTTTAAAATACACCACAGGACATAAAAAAATAATATTCTAATAAGATTCTTAATTATGATGATGTCACTGGAATATGGATTAACTGAAGGTTTTACTGATTAAATATAATTTAGAAAATGAAAATAAATCTTTGCATCTAAAGTGTATGAACTCGAGAAGTGGATTAGAAAGGGAGAAGTGAGAGAAGTGAAGGTGTTTATATGTTGAGATCCTGGGCATTACTCAAGAGTGTCTGACCTTGAAAATCAAAGTTCGCAAAGAAATATAGAGCAAAGTTTGTCTAACTTAGTGCAACTGGCAACTCAGTATGTGTGGGCGTCTGGAGACTATAAGTAAGTTGCCTCGGATGTTACAGGTACCAGAGTTTGGCCATATACCAACCAACATGAAGTTTGTGAGTAATATTACTTTATATCTGCATGAAGATCAGGTTTATAGCCGGTGGTTATATGCATGCGAATACATTAATTATTAGCTATTAAAAATATTTAATTTTTTTTAAATGAACAAATATATTCATTAGTAATAATATGAATACTAACAACCAGTTTTTAAGCCGTTTTCTAAACTTCATCAGCATTTCAAAACACAATTTTCATAATATTTTCAACCCTGTAATACGCTAAAGCGGACACTGTTCATGTATTTAGCGGTAAAATTTATAGAAACGCTTTATACACTTTGCTATTAAAAAGGATATAATATAAGAAAGTTTAGTGAAGCATACATAAGTTCTCATGATTTTCTCATTATTCCATATTAATTTCTGTATGTTGTGCAGGTGATCTTTGCCGTGCTGGCCGTCGTGGCTACTGCCGCCCCTCAGTATGCAGCCCCCGCGGCACCATCACGTTACAGTGAGTCAAGCGAAGAGATCCCCATCCTGAAGGACGAACGTATCCATGAAGAAGATGGCAGGTACAACTACGAAGTGGAGACTGGAAATGGCATCAGGTTGTCCCAGTCCGGTTCCCCTGACGGCCCAGAAGGTGCTGTGGTTAAATCCGGACAATACTCGTGAGTACAGTATTTTATGGTGGGTGGTTCAGTTGATTTTATAATTTCATCGTAATGTGATAAAATGAAGAGATGCGTTAGACACATGCTTTCTTATTTACAGCTACACTGCTCCTGACGGTACATCTGTCGAAGTGAAGTTCGTTGCTGATGAGAACGGCTACCAGCCAGAGTCTGACTTGCTCCCAGTGGCACCCGAGTTTCCCCACGAAATCCCTCAGTTCGTGCTGGATCAGATCGCTAAGGCTGCTGAAGAGGACGCTGCCCTCTCACGAGGTCCTTCTGCTTCTTACGGTGCCCCTCAATAAGTCTTATGTATCTTCTGTAAAACATTTACTGTGAACATCAGTGTATTTATAATGTGAGATATTCAAAAATAAAAAAAAAGGTTACAGAATTAAGAAGTCATGTCATTATTATCCAAATCAGCAGAAGGTAAAGTATTGCCTTATGTCGCACGTTTATAAGTATATTCACCAAGATAAATTTCGATTGGTTTTTTAAATATATTATATATATATATATATATATATATATATATATATTATATATTATATATATAATATATATATAATATATATATGCAAGGAATTCGCAAGAGCAGGCGAAATATACATAAACACTGATCTCTGGCTGAAGGAGACTCGAACCTACGAAACTTGGAACAAGGTACGCCGTCCTATACCAATCTACCCACACTGGGCAATACCTTGGCGTGCAGCTTGCGCTACACGTTGATCCAAGGCAGCCAATTTTCAGGGAGAAGGCTTACAGTTTTTCATCTCATCCCCTGCATGCATCAGCCTTACTAGAGATTTTAACAATGCAAGGAATTCGCAAGAGCCTGTCCTTTTCTTCTCTTCCTGTTATTACGAATATATTGTGTCATGATCATGTACCCTCTGGTTCTCCTCCCTTCTAGCATATATTTCAGCTGATTTCTTAAATTAACCATACCACGGGTGGGGTTTGAACCTGCGGTAAGAGAGTCTCAAAACTCCGGACCTTCGCGTTAGCCACTGGCTAACGCGACGGTCTGGAGTTTTGAGACTCTCTTACCGCTGGTTCAAACCCCACTCGTGGTATGGTTTGTTTGCAATCGAGTCATTACGATTTCGTGAGTCAAGTTCTTAAGTTTTTTTTCACTATTCCGGTAGCAACCTCGTTGCATGTGCTCACCTGGTTGTGTTTGAGATTATAAGCTTTGTTGAGAAACAAATTATCGTTTACCTGACATGCTACTATTAACCTGACAAATAAGTTTAGAATAATGGAGATTTACTACGCCTCATGGTCAACGCTAATTGAATAGGATAACACCCAACTGACTCTTTATGATGATTGAAGTAACAAAAAAGTAAAGCCAATGAATGACTGGATATAAGATTGGAGGGAGGAAGTACGAAGGAAGCCAGTGCATTCCGATATTTGTGACTGGATATGTCGTCTGATGGCGACTATAAAAGATGAGGTGAACCATAGAAGAGGATAAGGTACAAAAAAAATGGTATCAGGAGTGTTGTGCATTTGCGGAAAGAAAAAAGTAGTGTGCCAGAGCATAGTGGTAACAACGTTCATATGAGTTTAAGATATGAGCTTTAAACCTTGTATTTACATGGCAACTGGAGACTGTGGTGATGCCATGTTTGAGAGGATGGAATTTGAAACTTAGAAATTAGAAGACAAAGTGGAGTTGTTAAAGATATAATTCAGAGGACTAAAGATGAGATGTTGAGGTAGTTTGGGCGTTTTGAGAGTATGGAGCAGAATAGGATAAAATCTTGGGTAGAAGAAAAGAGGTGTAGGGGAATCCTCGAAGAGGGTTAATGGAAGAATGTAAGGGAGGCTTAAAGTGCGAACGGCTTTAGCATCCAACAGGCATGAGGAAGCATGTTAGATGACAGTGAAAGAAAACAAGTGGTTTTTATGGCTTTACATGCTGTTAGAGTGTAAGCAAGGTAATGTGTATGAAACGATTCAGGGAAATTGATTAGTCAGACTTGAGATGTTGTAGTTCGAAGGGCTATTTGAACTGTGAGGTCTGCACAATTCTAGCAAGCCAGCTACTGAATGAGCAATGGTATCTGTGTTTCCTTACCTGTGTCATCCTTCCTCTGTTGGAAGCGTGCATATTAATTTGGACAGTGAAGGAATACATTTATTTGAAAAAAAAAATAATGTTTATTTGAAAAATACACGGCACTGATATGACAGATAATTGATTTAATAAGAGATATGACTACTCTTTGCTTTTATAAGCATAGAACTGACCAATGTTAAACACATTTTAGCAAGTTCTTCGTCGTGGTACCAGGTCCTAGTAACAGCAGCAATTAGCTTCTCCACAGTTTAACAGTCCTGTTTCGTAATTCTGCGTTTGGTTATTGTTCATAGATTTTCATTTGGATTTATTTCAGGATAGTTTCCAGGCAAATTTAGAACGTTTAGCCCACTCTCTTCGAAGAAAGTGGGCATTTTTCTGGAAGTGTGGAGTGGAGAAAGATCCAGCAAGATAATGCCTACTTGATCAGAAAAGTCGTGTCCACAAAGGGAAGCAAATGAGTTGCCAAGATTGCCTTATATCTGGCACAGTTCATCGTTCCCTCAACAATAGCAAGCCGTCCTGGGCATTTAGCAGTAAAACTTCCCTGAAACATTTTTTTAGGTGGGTGTTTTGGCGTTTATTGAATGTGTCCGTTCCGAAGAGGCTCGCCTTTGCCCCGTCTCACTACCACTGATGTTTACCCATGTACTTCAAAATGTACCATATCTGAAAATATAACTTTTCTCCACTCATTTATCGTGCATCCCTTGTGATCGAGTTCTCACCGCAGCCATTTTTTCTTCATAGCTGCAATCAATAATTGTTTCTTCATTAGTTTTCTGGCAGTTCTGTCAACTTCAGGGAATCATCGTCGAACAGTTGAAGAATCAACATTTATGCTGCAGATCTTTGCTGCTTTTCATAGGATCATGAACACTATTTCTTATGATAACCTTGTCATCGTGATTTGTTGTCTTGCGTTTTCTTCCGCATCTTCCTCGACGCAGCGCTCCACAATCACAAGTGTCTTCATCTCTCTTCAGAATCAGACTAACAGTTGACTTTGCTGGGCTGATACTCAGATATGCATGTTTTCTAAGAGGAACAATACTTGTACGCTTCCTAAGTGTAACACCCACTATGAATTTCAGTAGTAATTAGAGAGATAGAAACTCAGAAGATAAATTGATCTGAATATTTCGATCCCCTTCTGGGATCCTTTTCCACTAGGCGTGCTAATGCTACCTCCGAGCACATTCGTGGCCATAGAAAGCTATAGCAGCTAATTTCATTCCCTCTCGTTTATTTACCAGTCTCGCGAGCAGTACACGTATTAATGCATTCATAGAAGCAAATAACATAATGCGACCAGTTCATGAGACTCGTGAGAATGAAGTTAGCTCCTGAAGTTTTCCATCGTCATGAATGTGCTCAGCGGTAGGAAAGCATGTCTAATGTACTAACTGGACACCTAACCTCTTTGTAGCGTGGTGGTGTAGTGGACTAAGGTGTCAAGAGTTTAGCTACCTACCTTCCCAGGAGGCTGGTTAAATGATTCATGTTCGATCCATGCTGGTCGCAGAATGTTTTATGGATATATATATATATATACATTATATATATTTTTTATATATTACATATATATATATATATATATATATATATATATATATATATATATATATATATATATATATATATATTATATATATATATATATATATATATATATATATATATATATATATATTTATATATATATATAATATATATATATATATATATATATATATAATTTTTTCCATTTTTTCTGTTTCCGTAATTCTATCTATTTCTCTCTTAATATTTATATTTCTAAAATATTTATGTTGTTCTCGTTCTCTTTTGCTCAATCTTAAATTTTTATCCATAAAATAAATATTGTGCTAATATAATTTTTCATTGTATAAGGGAAGACAACTATGTAAAAAGGTATTGTTCATTAGCAACAACAAGCATCTCATTGTGTCTTGGCTCAGGTGGAAGCACCTTCAGTTCACAGTAGAGGGACCCGGTTTCAATCATGGGACTGGAGAAACCGTTGAAAATGAGTGCGTTTCGCTTTCTATTCTCCTAGTCTTAAGTAGATACCTGAATGATAGCTAAGCCTACTAGGAGGATGTTAATTATGAAATGATATGTGTTAAAATTTTAGGACAACAGCTAGTAGCTTCTATATTCAAGGATAAGACAATATATAGTTCCAATTTTATTTTTTTTTTTTTTTTACATTTTTAGCTTATGTGTTACTGCACTAAACTTTCTGAACAGATGAAAAAGGGAGAGAAGAAAATGCTTGTGTGTTGGGATACTGAGCGCTACTTATGAAACTGACCTTGAAATTCAAAGATTTCAAAGAAATATGAAGCAAGCATTGCCTCACAAAGTGCAACTGGCAGCTGTGTGTGTTGTGGGTGTCTTCATGTGTGCGGGCGTCTGGACAGTATATATATATGTTTCCTTGGATGCTACAGGCACCAGTATTTGCCTACTTACGATCCAACATGAAGTTTGTGAGTACCAATAAGTTATGTGTGTTGGATATACGTATGTGTGCGTGTCTGCAAGTACATTTCGTAAAGCTTACTTTAAAAACAACTCGAATATTTTCAGTTACCAGATATATTCTTTAGAAAATGGGATGCCAGTAGGCAACCTCATTTTCGGCCGTTTAGCAAATTTATTTCGAATTTCAGTATGAAATATGCGTAGACATTATGTACTCTATACAATAAGAGAGCTATGCTATTGGAATACATGTATTTAGATTTGAGCTTTATACTTTTTATACATATTTAAGAAGATAAATAAATATAACACAGTGGAGTATATATGACTTCTGATTATTTTCTTTTCATTTCATCTTAATTGCGGTGTTTTGTGCAGGTGGTCTTTGCTACGCTGGCCGTCGTGGCCACTGCCGCCCCTCAGTATGCAGCCCCCGCGGCACCATCACGTTACAGTGAGTCAAGCGAAGAGATCCCCATCCTGAAGGACGAACGTATCCATGAAGAAGATGGCAGGTACAACTACGAAGTGGAGACTGGCAATGGCATCAGGTTGTCCAGTCCGGCTCTCCCGATGGCCCCGAAGGTGCTGTGGTTAAATCTGGACAGTACTCGTAAGTACCGTTACCTGGAGTGAGTAGTATTGCTTATTCTAAAATTTTATCATATCCATATAAACCAGATTTATGTTGCATATGTCTGATAAGCATCCCGACTTCTAGCTACACTGCTCCTGATGGCACTTCTGTCGTTGTGAAGTTCGTCGCCGATGAGAATGGTTACCAACCCGAGTCCGACCTTCTGCCAGTGGCTCCCGAATTCCCCCACGAAATCCCTCAGTTCGTGCTGGATCAAATCGCTAAGGCTGCTGAGGAAGATTCTGCCAGGGACCGAAGTCCTTCTGCCTCCTACAGTGCTCCTCAGTAAATGTTTCTTTTTCTGTTAAACATTTGTTGTCAACGTCTACGTATCTGTAGTCTGAACTGTATTTATTATGAAAATATAATAAATCTGCACAATTAATAACATTGTTTAACTTGCCCAAACATATAGATGTTGAAATGAAGTTCCTAAGTTTGTTGAGGCTAAAAGTTATTTTTCTTCTAGCCTATATACTGTATACAGATTTTCCTTTCATCTCCTGTAAAAGAAGTTGAAGAGGTTGGTGGATGAGTTTGGAAGGGAATGTAAATGAAGAAAATTAAAAGTGAATATTGGAAAGAGTAAGGTGATGAGGATAACAAAAAAATAGGTAATAAAAGATTGAATATCAGATTGGAGGAAGAGAGTATGGAGGAGGTGAATGTATTCAGATATTAAGAAGTGGACGTGTCAACAGATGCGCCTATGAATGATGAGGTGAGTCATAGAATTGACGATGGGAAAAAGGTAAGTGCTGCACTGAGGAGTCTGTGGAGAAAAAGAACTTTGTCCAAGGAAGCAAAGAGGGGAGTGTATGAGAGTATAGTTATACCAACACTCTTATATGGGTGTGAAGCATTGGTGGTGAATGTTGCAATATGGAGAAGGCTGGTGGTAGGATATGTTGTTTCTGAGGGCAATGTGTGGTGTGAATATAACCAAGAGAATTCGTAGCTTGGGAATTAGAAGGAGGTGCAGGATTACCAAAACTATTAACTAGAGGACTGAGGAAGGGTTGTTGAGGTGTTTCGGACATGTTGAGAAGATGTAACAAAACAGAATGACTTCGAGAGTGTGCAAATCTGTAGTGGAGGGAAGACAGGATAGAGGTCAGCCTAGGAAAAATTGGAGACAGGGGGTAAAGGAGGTTTTGTGTGCAAGGGGCTTGTACTTTCAGCAAGCATGCGTAAGTGTGTTAGATAGGAGCGAATGGAAACAAATGGTTTTTAGGACTTGACGTGTTCTTGGAGTGTGAGCAGGGTAATATTTATGAAGGGATTCAGGGAAACTGGCAGGTCCTGGAGATGGGAAGTACAGTGCCTGCTCTCTGAGGGAGAGGTGTTAATGTTAAAGTTTTATTAGCGCACCTCTGGCAAGGCAGTGATGGCGTGATGATGGTCAAAGTTTTTCTTTTTTGGGCCACCCTGCCTTGGTGAGAAACGGCCGATGTGTTAATTAAATAAATAATATATATATATATATATATATATATATATATATATATATATATATATTTATATATATAATATATATATATGTATATATATATATATATATATATAATATATATATATATATTATATATATATATATATATATATATATGTATATTAATAAATATATATATATATTATATAGTAATTATATATATATATATATTTTATATATTATTATATATATACATATATATATATATAATAAATTATATATTATAATATATAATTATATATATAGATAAGAATATATTATATATATGATATTATATATATATAGATATAATATATATATATATATTATAATATATATATAATATATATATACTATATATAATATATATATATATATATATATATATATATATATTATATATATATATACATATATATTCTATTATATATTATATATATATATATTATATATAGAATATATATATATATATTATATATATATATATTTATATATTAAGTACGTCGATAAGATGTAAAACTGGTCAATTGCAAGAATATCTTAAAAATTAAGTCCTTTACTAAAATTACTTTTATACGTTATAAAGATAATATTTTATTTCATTAATTGTTTAATGTAAAAATTATTTTTGCACAAAGATATCTTAGCAACTACAAACCTTATTATACAGACAATTATTTATAGCTAACCAAATATATATTTTAGATTTGTTACATAATTTAATACTACACAAACTCAGTGAAATATTATTTTTTTGCTAGTTCAAATGATTTTGGAAATTATTGCATACAAAATTTTTTGTCTATATGCAAGATGAGCTTGACTATGTAAGCCAAGATTCGCAAATTATGCCTATTTACGACACACACACACAACACACACACATATATATATATATATATAATATATATATATATATATATATATATATATATATATATATATATATATATATATATATATATATATAAATATATATATTATATATATATATATATATAATATATATATATATATATATTATATATATATTATATAATAATTAAATCATTAATATTAATATTTATAAATATTTATATTTAATAATATAAATATATAATTATATATATTAAATATTATATTTATTATATATAATATATAATATTTATATATATTATATATAGCAATATATATTTATATAAATATATATATTTATATTTAATATATTATATATAATATACGTGCCGAATATGTAAACTGGTCAAATAGCGCAAGAACTCATTAAAATTAAGTCCTTTCTGAAATTTTTCTCTATACGATTCTTAAGATATAAATTTATTAATTAATATTAATGTAAAAAATTTAATTTTTGCATCAAAAGAAATCTTAGAAAAACTTACCTAAACACTTATATACAAGAGCAATTTATTTTAGCACTACCCACACTAAATATTTTAAATACGTTTACAATATTTAGTACTCAAACACAATCTAAATGTATTTTTTTCGTTAGGTTTCAGATGATTTTGCGAGATTATTGCATACACAAATTTTACTTGTCCTTATGGCAGAGGATGCGTTGCTATTAAGCCCAAGATCGCAAAGTTCTGCCTATTCGGCACGACACAATATATATATTTAATATTAATATATAGTATTTAATATATAATATATATATATATATATATATATATATATATATGCAAGAATTACGATGAGAGCATGCGAAATATACACAAACACGACTCTGCTGAAGGAGACTCGAACCTACGAACCTTGGACAAGGTACGCCAGTGCTTTACCAATTACCCATCTGCGACCAATACCTTGGCGTGTAGCATTTCCCCTCACTCATTTGAATCAAGGCCCCAGCTTTCAGGGAGAAGGCTTACAGCTTTTCATCTCATCCCGCATGCATCAGCCTTACTAGAGATTTGAACAATGCATTGCATTGTTCAATCTCTAGTAAGGCTGATGCATGCAGGGGATGAGATGAAAAGCTGTAAGCCTTCTCCCTGAAAGCTGGCTGCCTTGGATCAAACGTGTAGCGGATGCTACACGCCAAGGTATTGGTCCAGTGTGGGTAGATTGGTAAAGCACTGCGTACCTTGTCCTAAGGTTCGTAGGTTCGAGTCTCCTTCAGCCAGAGATCAGTGTTTATATATATATATATATATATATATATATATTATATATATATATATATATAGATATATATATATATATATGCAAAAACAACCATTGTGAAAGAGTGTGCTTTCTGATCCTCAGATATGTTGCCATCTGCTTACTTCCTCCTTTATTCTGCATTCGCTGTAGTCTGCTGTCTTTTCCCTTTGACTTTCTTTTCCATTATGTTGTGCCATTTTCCTCCTCATCGTCATAATGTATTAATTATCTCCCACTTTCTTCTCTATTGTCCGTCGGCCAAAATCATTTTTTCTCATTAATCAACTATTTTCCTGTTTTCTGTGTCTCGGCAAAATACTTATTACATTTGCCTTCAATTTTGTTTCGTTCATCCTTTTTTTCCATTGCTCTATCACCAAAGCCTTTCACTCCTTGTCACTCCTCTGTCACTAAATCCGTCTCTCTCTAAATCAGCTTTCTCATTTCCTCTTTCAGTCTCGTGTTATTTTTTCACCAACAACTTCCTTTTGTAACTATTCATCTCTTTCAGTACTTTCTGTCCTAAACGTTTTCTTACTTTTCTCACAGTGCATGATTAGTTATGTTTTCACATTTCTCATTCATTTCACATCTCGATCCAGCTAATGTCCAGTTAAGATATCGTGAGTATTGGTATGTGTCTATATGTGTGAGCGCGCTATTATTATTATTATTATTATTATCATTATTATTATTATTTCTATTATTATTATTATTATTATTATTATTATTATTATTATTATTATTATTATTATTATTATTATTATTGTTATGATTAGCATTTATTTCTTGGTAACAAATGCTTCAAGCATATTATGTTTAGAATTACGAGAGGGAGAGAATATTACATTTTATTGATTATAATACAACAATAATTCTACAACAAGAATTTAAAAAATCTTATGTTTTTTTTTATAAACAAATACAGCATTAGTCCTTTACGTCGAAACTTTATCATTAACACTACTGAGGAGCTGAGTAACTACCAGAAGGTCCTCTAGATTCTGAGCGGGCACGAGCAGCGTCTTCTTCAGCAGCGAAGGCGATCTGGTCCAGCACAAACTGAGGAATTGGGTGAGGGAAGACAGGAGCCACAGGCAGATGGTTAGACTCGGGTTGGTAGCCGTTCTCATCCGCTACGAATTTCACTACGACAGAAGTGCCGTCAGGAGCAGTGTATCTGTGAAGAAAATATATTTATCAGGAGAATCGTTAGATATTCATATTTCATATTAAGCTCACGCAAATATGACTAAGAAAAACACAATTTCATATGTTACTTACGAGTATTGACCAGCCTTGACCACGGAACCGTCGGGACCGCTGGGGGACCCAGACTGAGACAAGCTGATGCCATTGCCTGTTTCTACTTCAAGATTGTATCTGCCATCCTCTTCGTGGACACGGTCGTCCTTCAAAATAGGCACAACCTCGCGAGAGTCATCGTAGCGAGTAGGCGCCGCTGGGGCTGAGTATCTCTGAGGGGCGGCGGTGACCCCAGTGGCCAATAAGGCAAGAACAATCTGCAAAACATACAAATATCTTTAATTTTGAAAATACAGTGGGCCCTACAACTGCGTGAAAACTGAGAACAAATAAAGAAGCTAAGGATTATTTCACTTCCTGTGTGAACTGAGAGTCTGCCTAACCCATTCAGGTTTAGCAGTTCGAAGCTTATTCAATTTTCTTTTCTTCGTTTAATATCCATTGTGTAATAAGCATTCCCTTATTTACTGCATCATCACAGTAATTTCAAAAATAAAAGTATAGGAAAGTATTGTTATGTTAAATTATATATATATATATAATATTATTATATTATTTATATATATTAAAAATATTCATATATATATTAATAATATAAATCTTATATATATATATATTTATATATAATTATTTATATATATTATAAATAAGTGGGGCGGTAGGGAAGTGGACATATTCAAACGGTTCAGGAAGAAATCCAAAATCTTCCTGAAGCCTTTTTATCACATCCCGTGGCTATGGGTCCCACATTACACCAGCAGGTTGCCCTCGATACTTATATATATTATTTTATATCTTTATATAATATCATATATATATATATATTTATTATGATATATATGTCGTGCCGAATATAAAAATGGTCAAATTAGCTAGGAAATCATTAAAATTAAGTCGTTCTGAAATTTTCTCTTATACGTTTATAGTATATTTCTTTTCATAAGTTAATGTAAATAATTTTAATTTGCACCAAAAGAATCTTAGAAAACTTACTAACCTTATTATAACAATGCAATTTATTTAGCTAACCCATACTAAATATATTTAAATACGTTTTCATTAATTATATACTAAACATACAAATCAGATATATTTTTTTAGTGGGCAGAATGATTTTGGCGAAATTATTGCTACAAAAATTCTCATTGTCTATATGAGATGAGCGTTGTATTTAAGCCAAGTCGCAAGTTTGCCTATTCCCACAATATATTATATATATATATCTTATATATATTATATTATATATATATATATATTTATATATATATATATATATATATATATATATATATATATATATATTTATATATATGTCGTGCCGAATATGTAAAACTGGTCAATTAGGAAGAATCATTTAAAATTAAGTCCTTTCTAAAATTTTCTCTTATACGTTTAAAGATATATATTTTTCATTAATGTTAATGTAAAAATTTTTAATTTTGCTCCAAAAGAATTTTAGAAAACTTACCTAACCTTATTATAAAAAAACAATTTATTTTAGCCTAACCCAACTAAAATATATTTTAGATTTGTTTACAATAATTTAATTCTAAACAAACACAGTGAAATATATTTTTTTTCGTTAGATTCAGAATGATTTTGGCGAAATTATTGCATACACAAATTTTCGCTTGTCCTATATGGCAAGATGAGCGTTGCTATATAAGCCAAGATCGCAAGTTCTGCCTATTCGGCACGACATATAATATATATATATATATATATATATATATATATATATATATATATATATATATATATATTATATATATATGGAGAGGAGAGAGAGAGAGAGGAGAGAGAGAGAGAGAGAGAGAGAGAGAGAGAGGGGGTGTGGCACCTGGAGAAGAAGTTGATATCCTTGGGGTGAAATTTGACTCCAAACTAACGATGAAGAACCATGTTGTAAATCTTGCAAACAAGGCAGCCAGGGAAGCTTACAGCACTTCGCCGTATCTCGCATCTACTTGACAGTAGGGGCTTGCAAGATTCTGTACGAGGCACAAGTACGCTCACCCTTGAGTATGCTCCCTTTCTTGGTTTGCCTGCCCCCCTCTCATCTGCGACTGCTTGACAGAGTAGAGAAAGAGCAAGACGTCTCATCTCTCGCCTGGACCCATCCTGGATAGATCTGTCATTTACAGCAGAGCCTTCAACATAGGAGGATGTGGGTGGCCTTACTGTTATGTACAAGGCCAATATTGTCAAAGTACCACACTTGGATCCACTTCGAGGACAGCGTGAAACAAGCTTTTATGCCACAAGACGGGCAGAAAGCAGCAACTTCACTCTGGCTGTACCCTTCTCCAGAGCATCACTCCATCTGAGATCATATATACCCAGGATGACTCGAATATGGAACACATTCGCACAGCATAATGATGTCAATGAGATAAAGTCAGTTGATCAAATGAAAATGCTGGCCCACAGATGGCTCCAATTTCATCCTGTTCCCTACTTGTATGTCTCATAACAATAAAAATGCTTTCAAATGAGCTGATGTAGGTAACAGCTCTTAGCTTGTCAATAAAGTTAGGAATCCTTAACCTGTAAATAGCTTGTCAATAAAGCGAGGAGATAGATATTTCCTAAGTACAAACTAATTAGGTTTGTAAAACAGGGCATTGCATCATATATGCTTCAGAGAATAAAGGCAAAAAAAGAGCAATGCAATGATGCGTGCCACAAGATCAGGATGTGTGTTATACTCACAAGCATCATATTGTGTATATGCCGTGACGCTGGAGGGTAGTGTCTGCAGTGCCTTCACAAACGTTCACTTATATACATAGTTCTCCACCCACTCTGGGTTGCCAGCTGTACTCTAATATCCAACACTTGCTCTGGATTTCCCAATAGCCTATAGTTTTCGAGGTCATGACATTGAAGTTCGTGCACCTCTGCCACGCAATCATTTCCTTTCTCGTTCGGTATTTTTTTTTAATTCTCTTTTTTTCTCTCTCTCTGTTTATAAATGTATTAACCGAAGAATGGCCGATGACATGAACTGTTGTCCTGGCATGTATCAAGTATAGCAACGTACCACTGAGTTATGAAGCTTATAATAGGAAAGTTTCATAGACGGAACTTCAGAGACAAGTTTGCTTCAGAAGTTACCAGATGTGCCCGACCATTCCTTCCCACGGCCCCAGAAGCTTTCATAGTACTTTTATTCTCATACCCTCGAAAACCAAATCTATGAACTCAGGATAAGGTGTAATGAATGCCTGTCAGTGAATAAACAGTAGAATGGACGGGAACTCGAACTTTGGTTCTAACAGGCAGATCATCCATCGCTGTTTTACAACGCTAAACTGGTGTGAAAGAACATTTTAAGCATATGAAAGCCTTAGGGTATTCGTGTGTTTAAATACACATACACGTTCTCTCTCCCTCACATACACTTCATCGGTGGAAATATTTAGAAGAATGCTGCTGGCTTAATTGTTATGAGAAAATAACTGGTGAGTTTTTTATTCATATGGTTACCTACTCAATGACTCCTTTACAGGAAGTATCGTAAATTAGAAATGTTGCTGACATGGTTAACGCCGTGCCGGGGAAGAGAGGTGATAGATGCCCGGAATCATTTATATGAATTAGCTCACACACACACACACCAGTGGTGTGTGTGTGTGTGTGTGTGTGTGTGTGTGTGTGTGTGTGTGTGTGTGTGTGGAGCAACACTGCAGAAGGCCTACTGACCCATGCAAGGCTGGTCCTTATCAAAACGACCTCTACCTAAAGCTACCCAAGAAATAACTCCCGTACCCCGTACTCAGTGGTGACGTGTACTTAGCTCAGTGGTGACGTGTACTTAGCTCAGTGGTGACGTGTACTTAGCTCTGTGAAGACCTGTTTGCGCGATCTCTACGAATTGAAGCAAGATCCCCTCCATCGAGCTACTTTACCAATTGAGGATGACGAAGATGGAGATTCGGCGACTGACCGAGGAAAACAAGAAGATTCGTAGTAGTCCTCCTGTTTTGAGTCCTCAGGTCAAGAAAGGAAACTGTCAGTGGCTGGACAGCAGGGAACGAAGTTGACGATCAAGAAGACGAATGGAAAGGGAGAAACGATGAAGAAGAAAGAGACTGCCGTGGAATCTGTTGTGGAAACATCTAATACATTCTCAGTGCTACCCGACGAATGTGAGTCGACTACTGGGAACGTCACGACGATCGACACCAAGGAGGTAAGAATATTGTTGTTGTTGGGGATAGCCAAGTTAGGTATATGGATAGGGCGTTCTGCTTGAGGACAGGAGTAGGAGACAGAGAGTTTGCTTTCCTGGGGCTGGGATGGAGGATATTGTTAGCCTCTGGATGACATTATGAGAGGTAATGGGAGCAATCCTATTATCTGTCTCAGTGCTGGTGGCAACGATGTTGGCAGACGTAGGAGTGAAGACCTGATTAGCAGGTATAGGTCAGCAATAGAAATAATTAGGAGGAAGGGTGGGAACCCTGTCATATGTGGTATTTTGCCAAGGAGAGGAGTTGGAAATGAATGGTTGTCCAGGGCAATTGGTGTCAATTGCTGGCTGGACAAATACTGTAAGGAAAATGCGGTAACATTCAATGACAACTGGGACCTCTTCTATGGCAGAAATGACATGTATGCCAGGGATGGGTTTCACTTATCTAGGTCTGGGGTGGGAGCACTGGCAACTGCAGTGGAGGGAGCTGTTAGGTCTTTAAACTAGGAATAGTTAGTGGTATGGGTTTTGGCGGGAAAACAGTAAGTCGCAGTGTAGTAATATGAGTACTAGGAGAACTAGTAATAGGCAAAATGAGGTAGATATTGAAAAGCCAGTGTCACAAATTGACAGGGACAGTAATAGGTTTAGTGGAATAACAGAAAGGAGCAGGAATTGTAAAGAGAGAGGAGGGTCTTTAAATATATATTACACAAATAGTCGCAGTGCTAGGAATAAGATGGACGAGTTGAGACTAGTTGCTAGTGCAGGTAACATTGATGTATTTGCCTTAACTGAAACGTGGTTTAATTCAAAAAGTCGGGACATACCTGCGGAATGTCACATTCAGGGTTTTAAATTGTTCCAAGTAGATTAGAAGTGTCGGGAAGGGGGGTGGGGTGGCATTGTATGTCCGAGATCGCTTGAAACTGTTGCATAAAAACTGGTATTAAGTCTCTGAAGTAATACATACAGAGTCTGTTTGGATAGAATTTTCAGAGGGGCATGAAAAATTAATTTTAGGTGTGATATACCGTCCCCCAAACTTAGATAGGGACCAGGGGAGACTACTATGGGAGGAAATTGTTAGGGCCAAGGCACGATAATGTAGTAATTCTAGGAGACTTTAACTTTAGTCATATTGATTGGAATTCTTGACTGGGAATTAGAATCATACGACTTCTTAGAAGTAGTTCAGGATTGTTTTTTGAAGCAGTTTGTGACAGAACCTACATGGGGTAATAACCTGCTTGACTTAGTTCTGGCAAACAATGAATCCCTTGTTAATAATTTAGAAGTTTCTGAGGAACTGGGTGCTAGCGACCACAAATCAATTACATTTAGCATTGAATGGAAGTATGATAGTAGGGATAACTAAGTAACAGTCCCAGATTTTCGCTTAGCAGATTACGATGGGCTTAGAGAACACTTATCATCTGTTGACTGGGGTAACGAAGAGAGCTATCAATATGACAGTTTTCTGAACACTATACATGAGGCTCAAAGAACGTTTATTCCGTATAAAGAAATTAGATCAAATAGAAATGACCCAAAATGGATGAATAATAGGCTGATATATCTACTAGGGCATGAGAAAGGAATTTATAGGCGTATCAAAAGAGGTGAGGGTCATCTTATGAATCAGTATATTGACATTAAGAGGGACATTAAAAAGGGAATAAGAAAAGTTAAAAGGGACTATGAAATTAAAGTTGCTAGGGATTCTAAAACTAACCCAAAAAGTTTTTTCCAGGTATATAGAACAAAATCAGAGATAAGATAGGTCCCCTTAAAAATAACTATGGGCATCTTAGTGACAAAGAGAATGAAATGTGCTCGATTTTAAATAATTATTCTCTCTCGGTTTTTACGCAGGAAGACACTAATAACATTCCAGTAATTAATTTCTATAGTGGGCTAGAAGAAGATAAATTATGTAACATCACAGTCACTAGTGAAATGGTTGTGAAGCAGATAGACCGACTGAAGCAAAATAAGTCACCGGGTCATGATGAGGTTTTTTCAAGGGTTCTTAAGGAATGCAAAATGGAACTCTATAAACCATTAACTAATATTTTTAATTTATCTCTTTAAACAGGTGTATGTAGTGTCTGATATGTGGAAGATGGCTAATGTAATTCCTATTTTTAAAACAGGGGACAAGTCGTTACCGTCAAATTACCGCCCAATAAGCCTGACCTCAATTGTAGGCAAATTACTAGAGTCAATTATAGCTGAGATTATAAGAAGCCATCTCGATAAGCATAGCTTGATTAATGATACTCAGCATGGATTCACAAGAGGCCGGTCTTGTCTAACTAATTTATTAACTTTCATCAGTAAAGCTTTTGACCACGATAAAGAATTTGATATTATTTACTTAGACTTTAGTAAAGCTTTTGATAGAGTTCCGCACCAAAGACTGTTAAAGAAAGTGGCAGCTCATGGCATTGGGGGAGAAGTGCTCTCGTGGGTCGAGTCATGGCTCACTGACAGGAAGCAGAGAGTGTCCATAAATGGGGTTAAATCCGAGTGGGGATCTGTAACAAGTGGCGTTCCACAGGGATCAGTCTTGGGCCCGTTGTTGTTTATAATATATATCAATGATCTTGATGAGGGTGTTACTAGTGATATGAGCAAATTCGCCGATGACACAAAGACAGGTAGGATAATTGATTCAAACGTAGATGTTAGGGAACTTCAGGAGGATTTAGACAAACTCTACTCTTGGTCAGAAAAGTGGCAGATGCAGTTCAATGTAGATAAATGCAAGGTTCTGAAGCTCGGGAGTGTCCATAACCCTAGCACTTATAAGTTAAATAATGTAGAACTTAGCCATACAGAGTGCGAAAAGGACTTGGGGGTTATGGTGAGCAGCAACCTTAAACCAAGACAGCAATGCCTAAGCATACGTAATAAGGCAAATAGATTACTGGGATTTATATCAAGAAGTGTAAGCAACAGAAGTCCAGAGGTTATACTGCAGCTTTATACAACATTAGTAAGGCCTCACCTAGATTATGCAGCTCAATTCTGGTCTCCATATTACAGAATGGACATAAATTCGTTAGAAAACATTCAGCGTAGGATGACTAAATTAATACATTAGCATTAGAAATCTTCCTTATGAAGAAAGATTGAAGACTCTCTTAAGTTACATTCACTTGTTAGACGAAGAATGATGGGAGACCTGATTGAAGTGTATAAGTGGAAGATAGGTATTAATAAAGGGGATATTAACAAGGTCTTGAGGATATCTCTCCAAGAGAGAACCCGCAGTAATGGATTTAAATTAGATAAGTTTAGATTAGAAAGGGACATAGGAAAGTATTGGTTTGGAAATAGGGTAGTTGATGAGTGGAACAGTCTACCTAGTTGGGTTATTGAGGCTAGGACTTTGGGTAGTTTCAAATTTAGGTTGGATAAGTACATGAGTGGGAGGGGTTGGATTTTGAGTGGGACTTTGCACACTCTCTTATTTCTTGGGGTAGTATGAAAATTGGGGTTGGTCAAATGTTTGTTTTAGATGAATTGGATGAATTGTAAAG